GAGAAAATTTCAATTTTCACTATGTTTTATTAGTAAATTTAGCCCCTGAGTCATTACTTTTGGTCGCCACTGTATATCTTTAATTTTATTTTTAATTTGATATTATGATTTAAAATATGATTTATTTATAATAAAAATTTTTACTTTTACTTAATTTTTTTGATTGCATTATATTTTTAATAAATTAATAATCAATTAAAATACTATTTTTTTATTTTTCTTTACTATTAAATATTTTTCAAGATTTTAGATTTTTAATATATATAATACAAGAATTAATATAATAATCTATCATCATTCCGATATAGTGTTATATAAAACATCCAAAAAAAATACTATCTCCCTTTCGTTTGTAAAGAAGAGGGTATCACAAGTCATTCCTCCTCAAAAAAATGTTCTTCATCATAAACATACATAATTTGCATACAGACTAACCTTTTTTTTCCAAAATAAACGCATTTTTGATCCCTTTTTTTCCAAATTGTAAAGGTTGACTTTTATATTTCCACCACTCGCGCATCAACCACGTTTCATAATCCAACGCTAAGGCGTCCTTGTAGTAAATCTAGATAACTCTTAAGAATTACGATTTATTTGTATTAAAAGTACCCTAGCTTTTCATTTGTTTTGAGGGTTAAGGTTTTTAGTCATTCACAAAGTTGAGTATTAGATGATAATTTCTTCTTTGAAATTAAAAACAAATGTTCATTTTGAAAATATCTTTATCTTGAAGTTTTGCTCAGTTTTAACCGGTTATATCAAATTTTACCTCAGAAATTTTATTATAATTCCGGGTGTTTCTGGTAACTTAAAAATTTGACCTGTGCCTGATTTTTTATGAATTTTCTTATAGGATTAGCCTAAATTTTAATCAAATTCCTTCAGGGATAGACATTATAAACATAATGCTAGTAACAATATGAATTCATTCGTCATAAATATTTACTAATTATTTATTAATTGATTGAATTTTGATATAAGGGAAATCAATGTCATATTACATGTATATCCAAAAGATATAATGCATATCAATAATTATGCCATATTTTGACTTTTTTTACGTTTCGAGATAATGTAAATTTCATAATATTCTCTTTTCCTTGTGCAAGGCTCATATAGTTAGACGCATGTCTTCGGGAGACATAGGAAAAATCAGATAGAATGTGCATTTAAAGAAAAATTGCATTTACAAAGGTTAAATACTTAATGCTTCATTAATAAACTTGGGACTAAATCAGAGCGTGCATTAATGGAGGGTAAAAATAGTTGTACATTTAGAGAGGTCTGACTTTAATTTCAATTGTTTGATTAAAGTCAAAGGTATTTAATTTTTCAATATAGAGACTCTTGATATAACGACATAAAGATAACCGCATGTTATACTGGTTTGAATTTCCTGAAAACATAATAAAGTTGTTATAAAGATACAATAATTTCGTTATAAGGAACTTTTTCTATCAGCCTGGAGAGATTTTGTAGCTCAAAATATAATATTAGTTCAAAAAAAACTTCCAACTGAAATATAGTTTAGGAATATAAATTTCAGTTATCTAGTAATTGTTTGTTCTTTTTGAAGTTAATCTATTGATTATTTTTTTGAATTCTCTTTAGTTTGATGACCCGCTTTTTAGTAAAGAATTAATTAATATCATTGGTTACAGAAAAAGATATCCATTTTATTATAAAATCAGGATTTTATAATTCCTTCAAAATTAAAAGAAATAAAAATCCTCCTACAAGATTGTATGTAGATTTACTAAAAAGCTATCAACTGTAAGAGGATTTTTTATACAACCTCTTGTTTCGAAGTTATAACATTTTGCATAAATGACTTGTCTTTTGCTATCTGGTACTATATTTGAATAACTCTTAAATTTCAAAGTTGAAAACTTACAATATTAGCAAACATTGGCATAAAAGTTTGCTCCTAATCCTTGTTATAATTTTCCAATTAGAAAAATATCAATAACAATATTTTCATGTATTAGATTTTGGTGCTCAAAATCACAACTGGTAACGTCAAAATTTCATGAACATTTCACGAAATGCAGTTCAATGTTTGGATACAAAATACATGTACATACAGTAGGAATGCGTACAGCAGGGATTAATGTATATCTTTATCTGTGGATTCGTTTTTGATAGCACATGTATACACGCATGTCATAAAAGTATTGTACATGTAAACACGAATGGAGATTAAAAAGGAAAATGCGAACATTATGTTAATCTAGGTTTGTGAATTGTGATCGTGAAATGTTTCAATCTAAAATTAAAAACCAGGTGATGCAAAAATAGAAAAACGATTATTTTCTAGAGACGAATTAAACAAAAGTGTATATTATTTAATTTATCATAAATTACATGTATAAATGCTAGTCTGAGCTTTTTATTAGGTTTATAATAGATTCTTGGTAATATGCTATTATAGAATTATACATGTGTATTATATTTTTTGTGTACCAATTTTAGCTTTAATTGTTGATAAAAATTGATTTCGTATCAGCGTATCTTCGCCATTATGTTTTTTATGATGCATTATTTTTGATTCTAAGCAAGGGATGGATGTATTATGTAGCTTAAAATAAACTCATTATAGATAATCGCTTATTTAGACGTTTGAATAAGAAATAGCGAAAAATGAAACGAGGATATTATTTGCCAAAAAAATTCTAACTTCAATTGAATCAAAAAATTTTCCTGGTTCGTTTATACGTTCAATCATAAGCGAGAAGTATCTTTCGAAAACATGATTAATAAACAACAGTACATTAATGGCATGATTGCCGTTTGCCTCTTTAGCACGTTAAGCAACGTTGTAGTCACATCGATGCTTATACTAACTTATAAAGAGAATAAAATGAAGAAAACATTTGCTCGACTTATAATAAATCTACTGGTATCTGATTGGCTGCAAAGTCTAGGATTTATGATGAGCTATTATTGGATTGTAAAGGGAAAAATAGTTGAGGGTACATGGTGCAATGTTCAAGGAGCAATTATTAATCTCGGAGATGTTGCTTCTGGTAAATATATTTTCAATTCTGGCTATTTTTCGTAATGAGGTAAAACTTTAATTTTACATTTAAGTTAAAATCACATATATAGGATTTTGGGCAACTTCTATTTGTCTTCACACATTTTTCTCGGTAATCAAAGGATATGAGCCAAGAAACTATCTTGAGATTTCGATGGCGATTATTTGGCCATTAAACGTATTCATATCATTGATAGGATTCGTGATTCAAAATCGACTACACGGAAACAGCTATTCCTTTTATGGGTCAGCAGGGGGATCATGGTGTTGGATCAATCAAGAATTTAACGAGTATCGTGTAATTCTCCATTACGGTATCGTGACTATTCTTGCATCCATAATGATTTTTTTGTATGGATGGATGCTGCTGGTTATTCATCGACAACAACAAGAGATTGCCGTAATCAAATTCGAAGAGACGAGAAAAATTTTACAGAAAACGAGGAAAAAGTTTATTTATTATCCAGTCGTTTATCTTGTCTTGGTGTTACCTTTGGCGCTGGGTATGTTTTTAGAGTTTCATATTACATGTGATAGCATTGAAAGTAAAAACTCCTTTTTCATGATTAGAACGATATTTGGCGATTTCTGGGATAACTTTACCTTTCACATAGTAAGAATCTTTAATTTTACGTATTTTATTTTTTTATGTGTAATTCATCTATTTGATGAATGTTTAAAATTTTTTCATCATTCAGTTTAATAGTAGCCGGCTGTATATTTGCCTCAGCCGGTACTGTCAACGCAGCAATCTACGGATTTACTCGTAATCTTGTCAGCATAAACTCATTCTTGGTATTTCTAAAAATCGGGGAAGAAAAAGGATGAGATGACAGTAATGAAACAAATGCAAAATAATTGTCCTCAACCCATTGTCAACATGATAGAATCATCAGGATCAACATGTGGAAAAGAATAGTTGATAACCAATACTCGACTTTCTTTATCGCTTTTCACTTTATTATTCGTAATAAATGTGCTTTTCATGCTTCGATGCAAATTTTTTTCATCCCGATAAATTGTTTGCTTAATTATTTCTAAATAAAAATGACACCTTTTGAAAAGAGTTGCTCCTTTGCAGAAAAGTTCTCTCAAATTTTCAGGTCTCCTTAAATCAGCTCTAAAAAACTTTCTAGTGTTTATCCAATTAATTAGATTATAATTTGGTATTGCTCCCTCATCTTATGATGTAGAGTTGTTAGTTTAAGTTGAGGACTGCCAGAGTTTATGTAATTATAATATAAAAAGTTTATTACGTTATTATTTGTAAAACATATCAAAGGCATAGGAGTTTAGACGAATAAAACAAAAAGCCAATTATATTATGCTTTCTTTCTAACTAAACTAACAAATAAAGAATTCATTAACTATAAATTACTATCGAATTCACATAAGAAAACTTGAAACAAAAACAATAATAATTAATTCATGAATAAAAATCGCTTTCTTTGTTGCAATATTCTCGATGGAAGAGGTAGGTGTAGAAGAAATGGTCTTTGAAGGTTGCGACTGCAATGTTGAGGATAGGGATGATGATAAGGATGAGGAGGAGGATGATGATGATGATGAGGATAATGTTGTTGTTGGAGCTGTTGTAGAATTAGCATTAATTGAACTTAATTTAGACGAGATTGGTGTGGAGATGGTAGGAGGTTCAATTGTAGTGAGCTGATCATTTTGATTCTTCGAACTTGAAGGCAGAGGTTGGGTTTCTTGATTATGGTCAGGCGACTTTGATGGATTTGGAGGGGGAGAAGTTGTTGGTGGTTGTGAATTATTATCTGATTGGGATGGTGTTTGTGGTGATTGTGACGATGAAAGTAATTGTGGTGAGGTTGGTTGTTGAGGATCTGATTGAGAAGGATTTTGCGTTACTTTTTGGTCCGTTGACGGGGATGATTGTGGTGAAGATTGTGGTGGTGAAGATTGTGATGAGGATTGTGATGGTGAGGATTGTGGTAGTGGCTGTGGTAATGATAATGATTGTGATGGTAGTGATGGCTGTGATAATGATGACGATTGTGGTGCTTGTGGTGGTAGTGGTGGTTGTGGTGACAACGATGTTGGCAGCGATGATGGGGATGATGGCGGCGGCGATTGTGGTGATGATGGTGATTGTGGCAGTTGTGATGGTGAAGGTTGAGGAATATTTTGAGTTTGTGGCAAATAAGCAATACTATCAATTGATGGAAGTTTTGCTGGATCTAGTGGTTGTCCTGCTTGTAAAGACGTCGATTGACTATTTGTTAACTGAGGAGGAGGATTATTAGTATTTGATTGCTGGTTTTGTTGACTTGAATCGTCTGTTGCAATGTCTTTGCTGGAAGAAATGGGTATGACGTCAATTCCTTGTTGCGAATCAACAGCAAAAATGAATTTGAAAGGCAAAAAACAAAAAATTATTAAGAGTACATGTATTATAAAAAGTGATGAAATTCGTAATGATATGACAGAAGAATGCATTTTCCTCTTTTCTTCGATGGTGAACGGAAGAAGGTTTCGCGTATTTTGGTTTATTTTTCAATTTTTACTTTTAAATATTAAACGATTATTCAGATTGCTTTTTAATTATCGAAAAACTTTGTTCGGCGTGGTTTCAGATCTGGGCTCTTTTAATTAAAAAGTGTTTAACGATTGTCATTCATTAAAAGTTAAACAATATAATGTTTGTTCCGATTTTTTCCCACATCACAGATTGTAATTCTCTCTTTTTTGCGGGAGAAAATAATTATTGTTACGTACTAAATTTACGTTCATTATTTCACAAAAAATCACTATCACGCTATTCAGTGGCTCAACTGTTTTACATATAAGTAATGACGTATTGACTAACACTAACAATGGAAAAATTTTCTAAAAATAACCTAAGACGACATTCATTAATTTTGTTGACAAACGCAAGATTCTTCGAAGAAAATCCTGGATAAAATGGAACATGCCACGATTTTTTAATGGACTTGCTGCTATTAAAGTGACGAGCATGGATAATAATTGCGCTTTTTTAAATCGTTGTTTATGAGGGGCATTGCTTGATTGATACTTCTTTTGTGAAATTATTAGCTTTAAATAGCACAATAAAAAGTTTCTTATCTCTTTAAGGGTAGGGTCTTTTTTTTTGTTTATGTAATATGATTAATAATTGACTCGTGAATTCGACTCGCAAAATGATTTAGAAGTTATCTTTAAATCTATACATTTGTGTAATCTTTTTTTTTTTTGCTCTAACTTGATTTACATGTGTATAGTACTGACTTATCGTTATATAGTAATAATCCGTAAAATTGACTACATCGGGTTACGACATAGATTATTACTATCTAAATCAAGTTATAATCATTTGCAAGACCCTACATATAAATTAGATTTTTCGACTAAATAAGACGCGTGTTTTTTTCAATTAATAAGTTTTTGAAAAAATTGATCAAAGACCATTCTAATTAGCTTTTATATGCTTGGTAAGATAACCATCTTTAAATTGTTTCGAATATAATTTAATTTTCTTTGGTAATATAAAACAAATATAGTTATTTACATATATGATGAAGTATAATAAAATTCTTTTAAAGCTGTTGCCAAACTTTTGAAGAAATAATATTTTCCGCGTACCTTTAATTTTACAGCAATGTATCGCTGACTTAAGAACGAGCTCTTTGAAGATCAATAACTTGGATTATTATTCCTTTTAAATTAAAGAATCCAGCAAATAAAGACATTTTTTTGAAAATGACTTGAAGAATATTGATATTTGAGCGATTTTTTGGTTATATTATTATTTTTGTTTCCATAAAACACATTCATTATTATACTTGTCATCAATTCAAATATGAACTTTTTTATAAATGATTAAATTTAAAAAATATATTGAAATTTTGTAAATATATTATTTTTAATTATATTTATATATGTACTTAATTAAAATTAAAATTATTTTTTTATTCTTTGTAATTATCACAATTATAATATTTAAAAATTAGATCAAAAAAAGAATCATATATAAGTTGCCAGCAATATTTATTCATTATATTTGCATATAGTATTAATATTAATATTATTATTTTACTTTTTTCATCCAATTTATTATGCTTAAATAAAATAAGTCTTGTAATTTTGTGAAATTGAAGATATTATAATACAAATTAATAATATTATAAATTAATAATATTATAAATTAATATTAAAAGTTTATAAGTTTATCTTTCTTATTTTTTATTTAAGATTACAAATATACTTTATGAATAAATAATATTTCTTAAATTTTGATTTACTTAATCTATTTATTCAATTTTTTGTTTTATAAAAAAATTGATTCTGATTATAATTAGATAAAAATTCAGTTATTATATTAAATTCTAACAAAAAATTATTTTAATAATCAAATTAAAAATTAATTTTGGTTATTTTTGATAAATTTTATTAAATTTGTTTTAAATATTCAATAATAAATAAATTTTAAGTATTTTTTAATAATTTTATTAACAAATTCATTTTTAAATATTTAATAATAAATAAATTTTAATTATTTTTCAATAATTTTATTAAAAATAAATAAATTTAGTTAGTTTTTCATCAAAAATTCATTTTAAATATCTAATAATAAATAAATTTTAATTAATTTTTTTATAAACTTGATAAAAAAATTTTATATTAAATATTTAAATATAGATTTTTATTAAAATTAAAAATCTGATAACTTGATTCAAAAATTAAAAAATATTAAAATAATTAGAATAAAAATATAATTTTTTAATAAAATAAGTTTATTTGATAAATATTAATTATTATATATTATTTTCTTGATTTAAAATCTATTTTAATTATTTAATCTTAAAAATTCTAATAAATCTTCTTATAATATTAATATTATAAATTTTATTTAATTAAAATTATAAAAAATAAATAAATTATAATTAAAAATTATAAAATTTATAATTTATTATATAAAAATTAAAAATTATTATTTATTTTTATTTTTTATATATTTATAAGTAAATAATATTTTAAATTTTTATTTTTTAGATTTATAAAATATTTTTAATAATTAAAATATGATATAATTTCTTTTTAATTTTTAATTATAAATTAATTATAAATTTTATTATATTAAATAAAAAAGAATAAATAACTTAATATTACAAGCTATTATTATAGAGATAGATTTTATTTAAGATATAGCTTATAATAAGTTTTGAAAGCTAAGACTGAATTATTTATAATATAAGTAAGATCAAGATTATTCTAAAGATTTTTATATATTAATACTTATAAATATTATTTTTAAATTTATAAAAATAAAAAAGAGAATATACATAAAATAAAAAGTGGTATCAAAAACTAAATTACAAATTAAATACTAAAAACTATAACAAACAATTAAGTATATTTACTTAACTCTCTTTCAGTATTATTTTAATTAAAAAATAAAAATAAAAATAAGAATATATATCAAATAAATACTAAACTAAAGCTTTTATACTTAAATGAAACTTGCAAAATTTTTCAAAATAAAAACAAAAAAGTATAGTTTATTTAAAGTAGAAATCTTTTACTATTCAAATTTTTAAGATAAGAAAAATAAGTATTAATTAGATATGATTTATTATAATAAAAAAGATAAATAAAAGTAATAATTAAGAAGTTTAAAGTATTTCAAGTATATTTATTTAATATTTAAGAGTAAAGTTATTTATATATATTTAAAATTATACAAACTTATTGGAACATTACTAGAAATTTATTAATAATAATATTATATAATTATAAGTATAAAACATAGACTAAATATTATGCTAAAAACTAATAAATAATATCTAAAAATGAAATATATATCAAGACTTAAAAAATAATATAAATGATAAAATTAATAATAATAAATAAAATTTATAATACATATACTAAAATTAGAAATTAAGAAAATAATCTATGAAATTAAAATAATTTGTGAAATTAAGAAATTAAAAAAATTAAAGAAATTAAAGAAATTAAGAAATTAAAAAAATTAAGAAATTAAAGAAATTGAGAAATTAAGAAATTAAGAAATTAAAAGATTTTATATTATTATAGTAATATTAATATTAATAAAATTTATTTCTTTTATTATAATATAATAATTTTTTAATAATTATTATTTTTTATTATTTATTATATATTTTTATATTAATAATAAAAGTTTTTATTCTTATCTTCAAATTTAAAATATTTATTTTTCTTAAATAATTAATTATTATTAAATTATTAAATATTTTTTTATTAATATTTAAAAATATTAAAAGTAAATTAATTATAAATAATAATTTAATTTATTAAATTAATATAAAAATATTATTTTAATTAAACTAATAATAAAAATATTTTATATAATTTTTTTATTAAATATTATTAATATTTTTATATTAATTTATTAGTAAAATAGATTTAATAATATAAATAATATATTTAATAAAATATTAATTTTTTTAAAATTATTTAATTATATTAAATTATTAAATATTTTTTATTAATATCTAAAAAATATTAAATAAGAAAATTAATTTCAGATATAATTTACTTTATTAAATTAATATAAAAGTATTATTTTAACTAAATTAATAATAATAATATTTTGTAAAATCTTTTTATTAAATATTATTAAAATATTTAATATTAAAAATAAATTTAATAATATAATTAATATATTATTTATTTTAATAAAATTATAAATTAATAACTTATTTTTTTATATTATTATATGAAAATTATATTTAATTTATTAATAACTATATTTAATAAATCAAAAGTTAATTGTATTATTATTATCATTTTTAATTTTCTTAAAAGATATATTATAATAAATTTAATAATTTTATATATAATACTTGAATAAAATAAAATTAATAAGAATTTTAAAAAAATTAATATGATTAAAAATAAATATAAATTATTATTATAATTAATTTAAAAATAGATAATAAAAGTATATTTATAATATAATTAATTAATAAATAAAATAATAAATAAATTATTATTAATAAAAATTTTTATTTATTATATTTTATATTTATCTTTTTATTTTACTAATTATATTATTATAAGTATTTTTCTTATTAAGTCATATAAAATTAAATATAATTAAGTATAAAATTATTTATTAAACTATAAAGAAAAGTTATAAAGATAAAGTATAAAATTTAAATAGAAAATAAAATAAAAAATAAAAAATATCTAGATTTTTATATATATTATTATAATAATAAAGAAAAATTTAAGAAATATATTATAAATAAGAAAAATCAAAATAAATAAAGAATATAAGATAAAAAAAGTAGAAATATAGAATAAAAAATAGAAAAGTAAATAAGATTAAAAAAAATTAATTAAATAAAAGAATAAAATAAATAAAAATTAATAATAAATAAATTTAAATATAAAATTATATTATTTAAATAAATTAAATACAAAAAAACAAATCAAGTATCTAGAATTATATT